GTAGCAAATCTGAAATGCAACATGCAGTCAAATTATATTGTATGAAGGCTCACCGTACTGCCGTTGTGGCAAAAAGTGATGACCATAGATTTGTGATGAAGTGTCGACACCATAATGATGGATGTCCCTGGTATGTGAGGGCATTGTTGCCGAAGAATGGAAATACTTGGGTGGTTAGTAAATGGGTTAAAGAACACACCTGCCTAAACCAAGGTCTTACCCGGGATCATAGACAGTTGGATTCTGATGTGATATGTGCAACCATTATCAGTATGTATTATTCGATATATCTAACTTCCTAAGGTATGTTAACGTTAATCAGTTTGTATTCTGACTGTTGGCCGGTGTTTTTTTTTATATAGGTATGTTAAAAGAAGATCCATCATTGAAGCCAGTTCTTATTCAAGAGAGGGTACAACGTTTGTATGGATACAACATATCTTACAGGAAAGCTTGGAAGGCTAAAATGAAAGCCATTGTCAAGTTATTTGGCGACTGGGATAAATCGTATGCATTCTTGCCTGGTTGGCTGACATACATGACGCAGGTTAATGTGGGTTCTGTGTTCAAGATTGATACAGACCAATGTGTTGATGAACGTCGAGTGTATACGGATAAGGCTGTCTTTCACCGAGTATTTTGGACCTTTCACCAGTGCATTGAGGCCTTCAAATATTGTAAACCCATAATCCAAATTGATGGCACGCATTTGTACGGTAAATACAAAGGAACTCTTTTGATTGCAACTTCACAAGATGGAGATGGTTACATTCTCCCTATTGCATTTGCTATTGTTCCTCCTGGTGAGAGATTGGATGATTGGTCGTGGTTTCTTAGCCTCATGCGTTTTCACGTCACGCATAAGCATGGCATTTGTCTAATATCCGATCGTCATCCCAGCATCATCAGGGCTGTAAGAGATCATGCCGGTTGGCAGCCACCATTTGCGTATCATGTGTTTTGTCTACGCCACATCGGAAGCAACTTTAACACTAAGTTCAGAGATGTGGAATTAAAGAAAACCCTGATGAAGCTAGGTACAATCTTCTTTTTAATATGTACAAATTGTATATAATTCATCCTTTTGTATCTAACGCATCATTTTGTATTTCAGGGTACTTGAGTTCAAAGATTCATTTTGATATCAGATTCCAGGATTTTATCGACAGTAACCCTCAAGTAGCTTCATGGATAGATCAGATTCCCAAAGAAAAATGGTGCAGGTCTTACGATGAGGACGGTCGGAGGTTTGGTCACATGACGACTAACTTATCTGAGTGTGTGAATAAGGTCCTGAGGGGTGCACGTAATTTGCCTATAACAGCATTGGTGAAGATGACTCAAAGTAGACTTGTTGAGTATTTCGTCAAGAGACGTGAAAAGATCCAAAAGGCAAAGGCAAAGGGTTGGAGAATTGCAAAAAAAGTTGAGGATATCATCAAAAAAAATGATCAATTAACAGTGAGCCTCCGTGTGCGGGTTTTTGATAGGGACCTGCAGCTATTTGAAGTTGAGGATGCCTACAATCAATCAACTCATGATGCAGGTGACATAATGAGGGTGGACTTGCTCAATCGCAAATGTCAATGTGGACGGTTCACATCTAGAAGATTTCCTTGCAGTCACGTCTTAGCGGTGTGCAAGGTAGAAAAGTTGAACCACTATGATTATGTTGATCCTGTGTTCTCAATTGCACAAATTGATAAGGTATATGCTGCTCATTGGTATCCAATGGGCAATGAGTTGTTGATTCCACAAATTGATGGCCCAACCATTATCCCAAATGCATCTTTGGTACGTGCACAAGGAAGACCCAAATCGTCAAGGATACAGAATGAGATGGATTGGGTTGAGTCTCAACCGACAAGCAGTCAGAGTAGATGTAGCCTGTGTAAGCAAATTGGTCACAACAAACGTACATGTCCTATGAGGATTCCCAATAAGATGAATTGCGGAGGAAGCAGGGGAGGGGCTTAATGTTTTGATGGTTTAACATTATAGGCATTTATGGTTTTATATGCTTGTATTTGATGTCATGATGTTTGTATTTGAATGTAATGACGGTGCTATGTTTGTATTTGATCTCATGATGTTTGTATTTGAATGTAATGACGGTGCTATGTTTGTATTTGATGTCATGATGTTTGTATTTGAATGTAATGACGGTGCTATGTTTGTATTTGATGTCATGATATTTGTATTTGACTCATCTTAGTTTTTTGACTCGGAAATTATGCTCCCTAAGTCACACTCCCTTAGTGGATCAGTGTAGAGTGGAAACCTAGGGCAAAAAACATGTGTAATTCGGATTTGGGGTCCTAAACCAACAATTTAGTCGATTAACCTGTACTGGTTTAGTCGACTAAAAAACATATGTAATTCGGATTTGGGGTCCTAAACCAACAATTTAGTCGATTAACCTGTACTGGTTTAGTCGACTAACCTAGTCGACTAAACCAGACTAAACCTACAGGTTAATCGACTAAATTGTTGGTTTAGGACCCCAAATCCGAATTACACATGTTTTTTGCCCTAGGTTTCCACTCTACACTGATCCACTAAGGGAGTGTGACTTAGGGAGCATAATTTCCGAGTCAAAAAACCCATGTGGACATTAAATTCCTAAAACCAAGTCGTATGTTGTCATAACGTTTGTTTACGGTTAACAATACAAGATGTAGCCTTTTTAAACACATGTACTGATTTGCTGTGATGTGTTATGGACGAATGTGACCTGTTCAATATTGTTTTGTGCCGTGATGATCAAATTGCTAAAAAGGTTCCATTCATAAGTTATACAATATTGAAATGGAATTAAATTCATTACACAACATAACATAGATCCAAAAAACATAACAATTCTGCATTCATTAAAAAAAGTTACATTACATCAACGACTTAAAGGAAATACATGAACAAAACATAATAACATGATGTACACCCTAAATCTACTCGTCATCCCCGTCTGTGTCCGTCTCCGAGTCGTCCTCATCTGACACATGACCCCCATCCCCTGCTGCCTCAGCTACCTGACCACCTCTTGCAAGCTCCAGACGAGCAAGCCTGTCTTCCACACCCTTAAACCTTCCCTGTATGTGTCTAAACCTTTCATTCCCTTTCTTTCTCCATTTTTTATGTGCCAGCGCCATCTTTCCTATCTTCTTTGTCATTGCATTTATGCCCTTCATGACATCACGCAGTGAAAATCCACCTTCAGGTTCAGCTATCTCCTCAACCTCAGCCACATCCTCCTCCTCCTCCTCCTCCTCCTCCACATCTGGCTCAACAATATGGTCATCTGGGGCAACATAAGGAACCTCAACCTGGGGCATACCACTAAACTCCCACACACCCGATCTCGTGTTCTTAGTAATCTTGCACTGCTCCAATAGACGCTTTCCGAACTTGCAATTATAGCCCGTGGTCTTCTTCAACAGCTCAGTCTCCATGGGAACACCAAAGTGAACCAATATCCTCTGTACCAGACAGGCGTATGGAAGATGACCCTTATGTTTGGCCTTAAACATAAACCAACAGATATAGTGCCTCCAGTTCACCATCTGGGCATGTCGGATAGCCCACATAATGGGAATGTCATGTTCCAACACCCTGGAATGATTAAAAGATCGCGGAAACAGAACGTGGGTGAGGACATAGTGTAGTATACGGGACTCCACAGAAAGCAACCCCACCGTATAGTGCAAGTGTTCCCCACGGACTCTTCTCTGCTCCTGCACGGCATCCTCTCGTACATATCCTGGAAGTACTACACCACTATCAGCGTCATACACCACAGTCTGAGAAGAGTCAAAATCATAGCCGAGTATCTCCAACCATGCAGGTGCCGTCATGATGATCTCTATTCCACAGACCCTCGACCTCAGCTCGCCCTGTACGTAGCTGAGGTTATGGTAGAAGGCCCGCACCATAAGCTCTGAATACGGACATAGGGTCTCGGCCAACACCCTCAGATGTGCCGCCTCCAACACCCCCACAATTTCAAATCCCTCCTTATCAAAAAAGGCTGTATCCAAAGATTTTGGAGCACATAACGGCCGGTTCAAATGGTCACGTACGAATGAAGCGTGGACGGCAGGGTCGTCCTCAAACAGATACCCATACGGGAGGTCAACAGTATCAGGCTCTTCGTCTTGTCGCCTTGACGAAGAAGGCCGCTCTTGCCTATGCTTGGTGCGTCTCTCAAGTGACTCATTGCCCTCATCGCTTGGTCTTCTGCGGCTCGTCATTTGTTTAGGGTACCTACAATGAAACATGTCAGCATTTAACTATATGAAACATGTCATGATGGTAATGAAAACTTGCAACATAAGCGCTGTAAACCAAAAGCAAACTTTTGCCACATACAAACTTTTCAAACAAAAAAATTCACACAATGCAAAAAAATAAACCTTAGTAGATTAGGGTTACAAAACCTACAACAAACGCTTTGATTAGAGGACAACAAACAAATACAAAAAATTCCTAAACCTAAAACACAATGCAAGTTAAGAAACCTTACCTATCCTTCAGATTTCACGATTTGGACCAAATTTGGGGGCAATCCACACGCCTAAGGGAAGGGTTTGGGGCGTTCTTCAGCTGCTCCTGCGGATTTGGGGTTTGGGCCGCCTCCTTAGTCGATTAGGTCATCCTACTCCCCCTCTGCCGAATGAGGGGTTTTTAAAAAACAAATCCGTCGGGAGTTTCTAGAAATCAAATTATAATACTTGATATAGAGAGTTTTGTCGCTCAAATAACTCTAGTTGATCCGAAAATATCATTGATGATTTGATGAGTTATATAAAAAGGAATCTATTTATCTTACGTCATGCAACTGAGATAATTATTTTTCATATAAAAAATATAAAAAATGAACGGAATTGACCCAATTTGATAGGTTGAAATGAAGAAAAAAAGTTCCCAGTAACACACAGTTAAACCCAACCCACAGTTTAAATAAGCGGGTTGAATCCATCAAACGGAAATCCTGATCATCTGTTGTTTATTGTAGTGCGTGTAGCTGAAGTGTTTGAAGATAACGAAGTGCACCGTTATACTTACTCCATTGTGGTTCCGCCATGGTTACTCTCCTCAACGGAGCTTCCTCTTCCCCTTCTTCCATTCATTCTCCAACCTCTTTCTTTCGTCCACTGCCACTCCCCTCTTTCTCCTCACCCAATCCAAAATTCCCTCGCATTCGTCCTAACCCTAATCTGCGCTGCTCCATTGCGAAGGAGTCCACCGCATCTCCGCCAATAACCACCGCGCTACCCAATTCCGTCGACTGCGTCGTCGTTGGCGGCGGCATCAGCGGCCTCTGCATCGCCCAGGCCCTTTCCACCAAGCACGCCAATGCCAACGTCATCGTCACCGAGGCCCGAGACCGTGTCGGCGGTAATATCATCACTCTTGAGAGGGATGGTTACCTTTGGGAAGAGGGTCCTAACAGTTTTCAGCCCTCAGATTCAATGCTCACCATGGTGGTATGTAATCTTCCCTTGTTTCTCTACCCTTTCATTTCAGGGCTCTGTTAATAATAATATCTCGTAACCCTTACGCAATTTGGTAAATTAGTTACGTTAAGCTAAATTTGAACCAGTATACTGTTGGTTACTATGATTTTTTGCTTGTTGCGTTTCGCAGGTGGACAGTGGTTTAAAGGATGAGCTTGTTCTGGGTGATCCAAATTCGCCTCGATTTGTGTTATGGAATGGGAAATTGAGGCCTGTACCGGCAAAGCCAACTGATTTACCTTTCTTTGACTTGATGAGCCTCGGTGGTAAGATCAGGGCTGGCTTTGGTGCACTTGGAATTCGGCCTCCTCCTCCAGTGTGTCCTCTTTTGATACCCTTTCTTTTGTTTGATTATGTTTGTGTCGGATGCAATATCTGGAACAAGTGTTCTTAATTTGGTTTTCTCATATTATATAATGTTGACGAAGGTGACAGGGTCGTGAGGAATCAGTTGAAGAATTCGTGCGTCGTAACCTTGGTGATGAGGTTTTTGAACGCTTGATAGAGCCTTTTTGTTCAGGTGAGAAGAGAACCGGCAATCTTTATCATTGATTTGTTTTCTCTCTTGTGTGTTATTCTTGTCAACCTTTTAACTAACCTCCTGTTATTATGTACTGATAGTTTTTTCTGTATTCTTTTGGACCCAATGATATCCTGTTCTTGGCCAATGAAATGTAATCGATCATGATAACTGAATTTTAGCCTAATAGAATAAAAAAGTTCATTTCTCCCAGAAGAATATTTCAAATCCATCCTCTAACCCGTCTTTTGAAAACTTGGAGATAGAGAAATTGCGTAGTTGAAAACTTTATTCGGGGAAAAGCTTTTCTTGATTTATAGCTATATTTATATATTCGTATGCAATTGAAATACAAGTGGCCAGATTTTTTGGGGCTGTTCAGTATCTTTCTAATTAATATTTAGTGATCCTTTAAGCCACCGTGTAAGACTGAGCTTTATACATGATTTTCATGTTTGTGAGTTTGTGAGGGCCAGGAGAAGGAGAATACCTTTGTCAAGAAATAAATCCATTATTTTCTAATTCGTTTGTAGCAATTCATAGCATATGGTGGTTTTGACATATTAGAACACTTAAACTTTATTTACAATATAAACTCAATAAATTCACCATTTTGCTTTCTTCACTTTTTTCCTCTTATGATTGTTATTGAAGTATATAAACAAATCAACAATTGGACAAGCACTTTCTGCTAATATTATATAAGTCAGCTACCATAAAAGACTCTAGCACATACAATATGTGCTTACTTCATCTAGCTTTTCTCTCTCATTATGAATTTTCTGCTGTTCATGTTAAGCATTTTTTTTTTTTTTTTGGAATCTTGTTGCTTACATGAATTTTGTTATACAGGTGTCTATGCAGGTAATCCTTCAAAATTAAGTATGAAAGCAGCATTTGGGAAAGTTTGGAGGCTGGAACAAAATGGTGGTAGCATTATTGGTGGAACTTTCAAAGCACTACAAGAGAGAAATGGAACTTCAAAACCACCTCGAGATCCGTAATAATATGTTTTCTCTGGAGTGTCAGGATTTATGCCAGTATTTATGGGTTGTTTCACTAATTCAGGTAATCATGTAGGCGTCTGCCAAAACCAAAGGGACAAACTGTTGGATCTTTCCGGAAGGGACTTACCATGTTGCCAGATGCAATTTCGGCAAGGTACTCTATGTTGCCTTATGCCGGTGTTCTAGTTGATTTCCCACTATTCTCAGGATTGATGATCCTAGTGAATTGTGTTCCTGTTAACAGGTTAGGTAACAAAGTAAAGTTATCTTGGAAGCTTTTAAGTATTAGTAAACTGGATAGTGGAGGGTACAGTTTGACATATGAAACACCAGATGGAGTGGTTTCTTTGCAGGGAAAAACTGTTGTCATGACCATTCCTTCCTATGTTGCTAGTACATTGCTGCGTCCTCTGTCTGTGAGTTCATTTCTCAAAATGGAATTATATAAATTATTTATGTGATCTGTTTTAGAACTTGGGCCCTATGACTGCATCTCTCTGTGTGTATGAAAGCATGCATGTTTTGGTAAGTAATTGCTGGTCTTTAGTTTTATTTGCCTGAATGTCTTTGGCTCTTTGTTTGTTTGAATGTTTGAGTATGTTGTGTGTGGACATGCATATGTATATGCTTTTGTGCCTATGGTTGCATGTGTCTCTATTTGTCATCCTCTGAATTTTACAGAAACATAATTGATTTCCTATGCAACCTGATATACACTATTAATCCCACATATTCTTTTTCCTGGCCTCGATTTTCATAGCAGAAGGGTTATCCTGTTTCCAAAAATTTATATTACCATTTGGAAATTTACAAATATAGATAATTTTGTGCTTTTTCCATTAATTAGCAAACTCTCAGTTGGTCAACCATCAACATTTTTCAGAATCAAACTAGTGCAGTACGTGAGCTTAGTGTACATGCTGCCGGTACTGCATAAGTGCATAGCTGTGAAATATATTGCTGTCTTTAAGGCTGAATAAATCGGTATCCCCACATCAAAACCCTGTTTATTTGTGCCTGAGTGAAATATAGAAAGTGTTATAAACTTTTTAGGGTATAGTATACAAGTGGTCTATTTCTAAAGCCAGGGTTTTAGGACATCACACCCTTCTGAAGCAGGCTTTTATTACTTGAGTCTAATAACAAGAATGGTTGTCAACGTAATCCAAAAAAAAAGAATGGTTGTCAACAAATAAGTTATTTGATGAATTTACAATTTGTGGCATGATAGTCTCGAATATATTCATTGGAGGCAGTTATTCCTTACAACCTTTTAATATCTTTTGCAGGCTGCTGCTGCAGATGCACTTTCAAAGTTTTACTACCCTCCAGTTGCTGCAGTTTCCATATCCTATCCAAAGGAAGCTATTAGATCAGAATGTTTGATAGATGGTGAGTTGAAGGGGTTCGGTCAATTGCATCCACGTACCCAAGGAGTGGAAACGTTAGGTAAATTTTTCATTTTATAAAGCAAAAGATGAGGCTCACAACAATTTAAGTTGACACATGCTTTTTAATTATTATCATCCAAGTTTGGTTTGGGGACCGTGGAATGCATTGTAGTGTTTCAGCAGGTTTGATAATAAGAACTTATTTGTGGGTTTGACAGGAACTATTTACAGTTCATCACTTTTCCCTAACCGAGCACCACTTGGAAGGGTTCTACTCTTGAATTACATTGGAGGAGCTACCAATCCTGGAATTGTATCAAAGGTGTGATGTTTATATGAAACATAACATCTAATATAGTTGCAATTGTTTGATCTGTTATGATGTTGAATTGGGTGAACGTGAACTAGTTTTTCTGGGAAACTTAAAGGATGGTATAAAAGACCTTTAATTATTTTCTTCAATGGTTTGTTTCCCTGTTTGAAACAACTCGGGTCCCCTGGTCTTGTTGAAAATGTTAATGTCTTGATCATTGGTGGTTCTGGGTTTTAGCATCTGTGTTATTTGAGTTCAAATGCTTGGATCCATACCTGCATTAATTATTTTGTAACTTTTGTTATATTGAAACAAGCTTCATTCCTCTATCTGTATTATTAGATTTGTTTCTTTTCTTTTCTGGTTTCTCCTAAAGCCTCTTGTTTAATGGCAGGCGGATAGTGAACTTGTAGAAGCAGTTGATCGAGATTTGAGAAAAATCCTCATAAACCCAAATGCCCAGGATCCATTTGTATTAGGGGTGAGACTTTGGCCTCAAGCTATTCCACAATTCTTGATTGGCCATCTTGATCTTCTAGATGTTGCTAAAGCTTCTCTAAAAAATACTGGGTTTGAGGGGCTGTTCCTCGGGGGCAACTACGTGTCTGGTGTTGCCTTGGGACGATGTGTTGAGGGAGCCTATGAAGTAGCAGCTGAAGTAAATGATTTTCTCTCTCAGAGAGTGTACAAATAGTGGCAAATTTGTTTTCAGGAAATGGTCTTTATGTTTCATTCATTGTCAATTTCATATGTATTTAGCTAGGCAGCTATCACTTTGCCACTCCATTTTTCTCTGATAATAGGCTTAGTTGATTTTGACTTGTTATTATATATGTAAACCCAGGCAATGGTCTGAAGCAATTGCATGAGTTACATGATAATAAGGTTCGTGTCTTTGAATATATTTTGTTTGGATAGTAGTTTTCTAGTTCATTTTACCGTTAAAAACCTCAGATGTGTCCCCACTATGCTACCATACAATACTGAAATTCAAATTGAGCTACCAAGTGGCTTATATTCTGGCTCCAAGGGTGGTGAATGCTAATTTACTTATATCGACGGCGAGAGGAGAGTTAAACAGGATGTATGGTTAAATCTGGAGTTCATGTAGTTATACAAGTAATAATTGTTAGATGATGCACATATTTACTGAAGCAGCTTGCTTTCGTAAAAATCTTTTGGAATGAAGTGGCTTGTAAATGAAAATAGCGGCTTTGAAATTTGAATGGGAAGGGTGGGGATACTTAGATTTGAAGAGCAAAATGTTTGAGCTAAGTTTCTGCATATTCTTGCTGTTAAAAGGGGGATCAAGCGCCACTTCTAGTGTTGGACTTCTCGACCTAGCTAAGGGCCATGCTTAAGATTTCTAAAGTTATACTTAGTTTGACCAATGAATAAAACTCAAAATTCCAAAGGGATGAACAAGGACGACGGAGAAGCCAAGTCATGAAAAACAAGGTGGTAAAAAAGATCAGGAACGACAAAGAAATTGGACGATGAAGTTATACAAATGTATCTTGTGATCCTTGGCATATGGAAATGACATGAATAATTGATTGTTGGCTGGTTTTGGGCAGTTGATGAAGCATTTGTCGAGGTGGAATGTTGGCATAAGCCATGGGGCACTTGAGTTTGATGAAAGTCAGCCTGCGTGCGTGTAGGGTTTCACCACGGGTAATACTAATTGAATGATATTGTCAGTAATTTCTTATTATATTTGTGTCTAACTAGTAATTACTGTCAAAATATCTTATATTGTTTGATATTAATGTTTGAATAGCTTATTATGAAAATGAACTATTTATCAGTAAGTTTTAAGCTTTTTTAAACTTTCTCAAGTAATTTCTGCTGTCATGTTTCAAAAATAAAATATTTGAAAAACTTGAGATCATTAGGTTGAGGCACATAAATCATTTTTATCTCAAATAAACAGAAATTCTTTCGATTTCTTAAAAGAGAGAAACAATAAACCTCAGTCATGTGAAATAGAAAGTCTACATATATTTGACAATATGAACTGTGGTTTCAAATAGGGAATCGGGTCATATTGCCCAGATGCTTAACCTTAAATATCTATTTGATTCATATGCTTTACATATGACTGAATGAGATTGGAAGCAGTAGGTAATTATCGTCCACCTAAAGGAACTTAATTCTTGCTTTCCATATGACATGTATGGATATGGCCATATGGGATCGTCTGTAGGATTAACATTATAATTTGGGAAAAATGTCGCAGATAATTTATCTGCATTTATTCCCAAAACGACGTCATTTTAATATTGAAATCTTAAAAAATTATAAATATAAAAACTATAATAACCTTGAAATAATTTAAAATTACAAAAACACCATGATGATTTTCGTCCAAAACGACGTCGTATTGAGCTTACTGCAGATAAATTATCTGCAGTAACTGCAGAAAAAGCGAACATTTATAATTTACGAATAAATATACTTTTAAAGTAAACTTATGTTTAAAGTGAATAAAAAGAATATGTTATATTTACAAATTCTTATAAACTACGTTATATACTATGGATAATACATATTATTACATGCTTAAGTAATATGTATTATCCATAGTATATAATATAAATATAAGAATTTGTAAACTTTAATTTTGTAAATATAATTATTCTTTAAATAAAATCTCCAATTTAATTTAAAATAAATTATAAAGAATTAATATTTCTTATATTATAACAGATAATTTTATCTCTTACGCATTGATAAAAATACATAAGATCTATGTGACGCCATCTAAAAAAGTAATGAGAAAAAATAAATAGATGATACATATTTTTATGGGATACACATTCACAAAAATATATAAGAAATAATTTTGTTAGGGTCATCAATCATAAATATTATTCCCAAATTATAATCTTAACTTCTTGTTTGCTCTATTCATTCCCTTTCTCCGCTAAAGCGCTCCCTAAAACAGTGACAGTCACGGTGACCAAAATCGAATATTTAGGGTTGCAAAACAAGTCTGGACCTTCCACTCTCACTTCTCTCAACTCCTCCCATTGAATTCCCTATTCTTCCAATTATCCAAATCCAACATTCCTCTCTCTTTCAAATTTCATCCTTCGTTTTCACACTCTCTACGCTCTCTCTTTCCCAAGTCTCACTCACCAGTTGGGTAAGAAGAAATCAAGGATCACACATTGCATTCTATTTTCTTCTCCAAACCATTCAAGGTATATTTCTCTAATACCCTAATTTTCTGCAATCACCTTTTGCTTTGAAATCATGGTGACGGTCATTCCCTAATTTACTAGTTCTTTATCCTCATAATACTGAGAAATCTGTTTCGATTTTATATTTGTTTGCTGTTATTGTTGCTTGGGTAGTGACTGAAAGAAAAAAAAATGTTGGGAAACTTTTTCATTCGAAAATCAAGACTCTCACGTTGGAGCTGTTTTGGGATTTTTCTTTTTCTTTTTTTAATATTGATAAGGCAAGTCCATTCATGTCAAACTGTTCTGAAATGCAAAATTCTGGGAGCTTTAGTTTGGATAAGGCAAGTCCATTCATGCTAGCAAAGGAAAACGTCTTTATTCTGTTTGGTTGTTCCACAACATCTCCAGTGTTTGATTCAACAGAAGAAGATTTCTGTGATACAGGTTCTGGTTCTCGTGTTTGTAGAGGAATGTATTCTCGCAAAGGGGTGACAGGAATTGGGTTGCCACAGAATGCACCAATCAACACTTGTTGTGTCTATGATTACCCCTTCCACTAGTGAATAAATTAAGTGTTAAGCACCATGTGTACAATTTTTTCCATTTGCATTTCCCTTTCCCTTTCCCTTTCGTTTTGGGCTAGGGGTAGGTAGGTAGAGTCTATTATTCTTTCATTCTTATATTAATTTTTGCCTGTTCAATGCCCGTGTCTGTACATACTCCTGTGTTTTAAATCACTTCGAGTGTTTCCTCTTTAACACTTCATTTCATAATGGAATTTAGCTCTTGTCCACAATCTTGCTCCTCCTCCTTAACTTTATTTTTTACCCCTTGATCTGTTTTCCTCACCAGTTTGCGTTAAATCATATTTCTTTATACGTACGTAAACCATGTAAAAATTGCTGAAGTGAGACCAATAGGCGTTGTTCATCCTATTGACATCCAAAGTAGTCTTCTTCTTTTTATTCCAGATTGGCACTAAAATATATTTTAAGGAGACTGAATTCATGTGAGTTCTCTTCAAGATTATGTTTCTGCTTTTCATGTCTGTGGATGCTGAATAATTGTTTTAAGGGGAAATAGGGGAATTGGGTGGATCTGTTTAGGTGGGTCTGGTATACTTTTTAAGTAGTGGCATTGACATCTAGCTATGTTAGATTATTTCTCTTTAGAGGGTGGAGGTGGAACTACTATTCAACTACTACCAACTGCATGGAAATATTATGTTAGTGGATCTATTTACTTAGGTCTGATAATAGATGCATTCTTGACTTGTTAAATTCTAAAGTAATGACACTGAGTAGATATGCTGAGTTATATCTTTCCATATGGTAGAATTGGAAACTTTTTCCACCTAGTTACAACTTGGGAATATTATACTCGCATGTGTGCATGATTCAATTTATTGATATACGGTATAACATATTTTCATCATTTTGTTGCTTGGAGAATTATGGGATATATGCATATTAAAATCATGTGATGATAAAGGTAGCAGGCTGGCTTCCTTTAATGGTTACTCAAATGGAATGTAGTTTAGATCATTGACGATTCTAGTGGTTCTAGATGCAATTTCTGGAATTCAGCAAGCATTAATGCTTTTAGTTATACTAATTATAGATGCATCAGTTGTATTGCAATATAGTTGGTTTGTCCTCAGAGACAAAGGAAAGGAAACACTTGGATTACTCAAACTAAAAGTTGTCTGTTCTATATCCCTTATCTTTTTCTATCCCTCTTGTCTCGAGTCTAAGTGGTGATGGACTGGTGGTAACAAAGTGGTATTTCAAAGGCAATGAGAAATAAAGTTTTGATTCTGGAAACTATGTGAGAAGCTTTAATCTTGGATTGTAATATCTCCTTCCTTTTTGTCCGCTTCAGTACAGCCTTGAATTCATCTATCGTTTGTGGTATTGTATGGTAAACAATTTGTCGAATCTAGTATATCATATGTTCAGGCTTGGCTTATCTACAATGTTACCTATATTTATCATTGACATTTGTTTGCTGCCACTTTTTTTGTGTGCATTACTATTGGTGTGTGTGCATATAATCACAATATGGGATGAAGCTGGTGTTGATTTTGGAAGGCCCACGGGCTGGCCTTAACTCATAGGGCTTTTGGCCCATGTGACCCAATATCATTGCGGGCTTTTTGGCCCTAACCCACATGGGCTAGGGTTAAATGGGCCGGGCTGGCCCATTTTGACAGCTCTAGTTGTGCTTGTGCACACCATTTGCTTGATTAACGGTCTTACTGGTTGTTCCTCTCTTTGAGTTCACAGGGTAACTTCTTATCATTGTCCATGAGGCTCTATGATGAATTCAAAGAGATACTAAAGATTCAGAAGTTCCGAAGATTGGTGTCTTATACTGGGTTCTTCTGCTTTACTACGCTTATAAGCTATGCTTACACTAGCAATACGTGGGTCACACTGTTAAAACCCTTGTTATTAATACTAGAACTAGAATTTGGATTATTTGTCGGAGATTGGTTCTCATGTTAATCTCTAGTGTTTTGATGCATGATTTTGGTGCTGCAGAACTAGGGCTGGGTACTCTAGAGCTGATCAATTCTATGCATCTTATCCGGCTGGTACTGAGCTTTTAACTGACAGTACCAAGGTCTTTGCCGTGATATAATTATGAAATTGCTTATGTCTATATCATCTTAATCTTAAGTATGATTTTTAGTGTTTTAAATTTGTTATTAGTTATACAAAGCTGCTCTTGGAAACTGCTTTGAAGCTGAAGAATGGGGTCCATTTGAGTTCTGCATCATGGCAAAACACTTTGAGCGTCAAGGGAAGTCACCGTATGCATATCATGCAGTAAGTTACATGTTGCCCATATTTGATTCTACGTTGTTCCCCACCCTTTATGTTAAGTCAACTGTTTTTCCAATTGATATTAATCCTTATGGGAATTGATTTGTGAATCCTAGTTGTTCTCCAGTATGTTGACATTTTTATATAAATCCTCTTTGAGTTTTAACAACATGCTAGAGGACACAGGATGAATTCCTTTAACTTCTGCGTAGATGCTAGCTATTCTGTAAAAAATAAGATTTTTGTGAATTGAGGATATCTCTTTATAATAAGGTTATGGAGGAAACCATTGAATAGAATCCCCCTGCCCCATCTCTCTCTCTCTCTCTCTCTCTCTCTAAGTGGCAGAGAGTAGGATGACTTGTCAGTAACAACTTGTGGCCTTCTCTTGAATAACATAAGAGAGGTTTGTGCTTTGTTGAGATTGGAAGAACGCAAGTCATGGTCTTTCATTTGGAGGGCAACTTGGTTATCAACTGATGGGCTATGACAAGTGGGCCCGGGCCAAGCAATGCGAAGGAGGTGAGTTAGTTAGAGAGAGGAGAAGAGGAGCCAAAAACGTGGGTGAAAGGCTGTTATATGAAAGAAGGGTATGTGGTAGGGATCTCAGGCAAGAATTCAGTAGTGGAAATTGGGAGAAAGAGAAACAGTTGGAGGTCCTCTGGGTTATCACTTGTAGTGTCATTCTTTTCTTTCAGGGCTGTCTCCAGCCTTTGTTCTTGGATTTCTGTTATTTGGAGTCTTTGTAAGGAGCTGGTCTTCGTTTTGTTTCTGTTAATTCCAGTTTAGTGAATTGGGTTCCATCACCAACTATGTCATAGAGCTGCTGACTCATTAGCATAAACACTTTGAGCCTTTTTCCAGATTTCATAGCATGACTTGTGGCAAAGATAATGCATCAACAATTTAGAATCAATGTATTGTCATAGAAAGACTCCAATCGGTGATCAACTTTCTTCCTTACTTGTTGTACACCAGCGTCCTATGAAGTACCGACACTTCCAAAATCCTGACTTGTCGTGTCCGACACTTCCCGACACTCCAATACTCATTACAAAGACTCAAAAAAGGTTCAAAGGTTACGTTGCGTTGCATTTTGAGTTCTAACTTTTAGATTCGTTAGATTACGATTACGATTTTATTGAGTTTAATATAAATATTTGGGATATATTATTTTTTTTTGCAAAATTGATGGGTATTACAAGTTTAGCTTTATTTTTTTTGTTAAATTATGAATACTAAATATAATATACACTACATAAATTAAAAATATTATATAATATCAAAACGTGTCCTGATGTGTCGAAATTTAACATTTTTTAGAATTAACGTGTCGGAATGTCGTGTCGTATCCCGTGTCTCGTGTCAGTATCAGTGCAACATAGCCAGGGTCAATACCTTAGCCTTTTTAGTTAAATGGTCGGAGAGACCTTAACTCAGAAACCACACATCAACTGCTGCATACCAGTCCAGATGATTTTTGCCATTTAGTTTCTCAGAAGTTATGGAACGGGATCCTGAAAAACCAAATGAGGTAAGACCCTTTTAGGAAGGACCAGATGATACTTTGGAAGCCATGAGGATGAATTTAGAGGTTGTTGAAAGTTCAGAGTCCTATTCAAGCAAAAACAGAGGCTAGACGAGCATAACAGACAAAGAAACAAGGGCTGAAAACACAACCACTTTCCAAACAAGGAGATATGGAGCGGATGACCACTCAAACAGAACCATGATGAGCTGACAAATTGAAACCAGGTTGCAGCGACTTGTTCCGGGGACAACAAGGCGGTGTGTGAACTCTATGCTGATGGGGATGGTTGGTGGAAGTTTGGACTGAAGTCCAGCCTTGACAGTGGCTGAACTATGTGACAGAACTGGATATTTCAGACCTAGAAGCAGAAGTGGGTTTAAACCCACTCTGATATCATCTTTAAAATATTAAGAGACTTGGAGGATTTGTGAAATTGCATTAGTGAATTGCAATAAGCATACTTCAGATTACATACACATCAAAGAATCAATTCCAATGTGATTTTTTCAAGAATAATAAATAGGAAGAAAACATTTCGTTAGAATAATAAGGTTCCAATGCTACTTGAAGCTAGTTATAACTAATTCAGTACTACGCAAATTCCAACAGTAACCAACAAACCAATGGAAGCTATAGCAGAAGCAATGCAAATATTTTTCTTCTTGCTTTTGCTGAAAGCTAAACCAACTCATTTACTTGACCAAACCCAAGTAGAGTACTTTTTGCCATAAATATATATTTTTATATAAAAAAATTTAGCCACAATTTTAACCATGCTTCTATGTTTGTTGAATTTCATTACACTGTATTCCTTTCTTTCCTTTTTTTATTAGGGTTCTAAAGTGTATATGGAACCAGTTTTAATGCTTAAGTTTACCTTTCACCTGTCAATGGTGTAGACAATATGTCCAAAGGGAAATGATTTTTATCCCATTTTATCGAAGCAAGTCTGTGATATGGGGTCTCAAAGTCAAGTTTATTACTTGATAGTTGATACTACTTTAGAATTATATATTGTACGTTACGCCACCATATTTTGTTTTAACTACGATGTGTTTGACTTCTTACAGCAATATATGGCGCACCTCCTTTCTCTTGGACAACTTGATGGGAGTGGTTAACCTGGCTTATGACAAAGTGGAAATTTTTTTGCAGTATATGAAGACGTATAAAGCCAAATAAGAAAACTTGAGGTTTGAGTACTTGTCGAGTTTTGAACTGCTTTGTATTCTATTCTATGACCTTAATTTTTATGAGATAGGAACACAGTATATGGAGCATTTTCTTTTTCTTGTAGGGTGACAACAAATGTTTAGCTTTATCCCTATCCTCTTTGATATACAAATGTCCCATCAGTGTCAAGTGCTTCAGATTATGTGTTAAACATGCCACAGTACTCCTTGTCTTCTTAAAGACGATTCTAAGAAATGTTGGCGACTGAACTGATACTAGTAAGAATTCCACATGACCAAAATCCGTAGATGGTAAAGGTACAAGAATACGTATATGTATTCTTTTGATAGTGGCGACACATATAATTTTATTTTGTAAAATGTTAGCAAAATAATATATTTTTGCTCTTATATCACACTAGCTATCTCATGGGTTTGGTGCTTTGACTACCTATTTTTGAAGTATTAACGTAAGAATGCTTTGTTTCGCGCTCGGGTTATTTAGAGTTCTTTTAGATGACTTTTTTTTTATAAAAAAAAAAAAAAAACTCTTATAAAAAAGAGTCTGTTTGAATGTTTGTTTCTAAAAAATGTAAAAGTCGTAAAAAAAAGTCAAAAATTTATTTTTTTTGAAAGCTAAAAATTATAAATTTTAAAAAAGCAAAAGTTAAGTCAAATATATTTTTTAAATTAAATATTTTTTAAAAAATTTAAATACCTTTAGTTTTTGTAAAAAGGACGCTTAAAATAAGCAAGGTATAAAAAAAAAAATTGGGAAGATAATTCAAACGGGCTTTTAGTGCCCACTACGATGGAAAAAACTGAATTTGTAATAATACAATGATTTCATTTTTTATTGTCGAAGTACTCAATTAATTTTAATTTTTTTGCTTTGTAAGATTAAATTGATGTTAATTCCAATGAGTGAAAGACAAGTTAATGACAACTTTCTTTAGAAGACTAAATTTATGATATTAATATTGTTGGAAAATTAACGGGACAGAGCAAGAAAACAAACTCGCCGAATATTGAAAAAAGTTAAGATCTATTTCCCATCAGGAGTTGATCATAGTGTGTTGAAATTTGTTACATGGACATAGATTGTCTTGCCCCTGAGGGCTATTTTACATAAACTATTATGAACTTTCTGCGCGTGTTATTTGCAATCGTAAGTTATGATGCACCGCTATTTTAAAAATTCTAACGTGTCGTATCCAATATTTTTTGTCATTCCTCGACACTTTAATATGTATTACAGAGATTCAAAATGGTTTAAAGTTTGTGTTGCATTGCGTTTTTAGTTTCAACTATTATATTTGTTATATTACGATTATCATTTTATTGAGTTTAATATAAATATTTGAAATATTTTATGTTTCTTTGCAAAATTGATGAGTATTATAAGTTTAGTTTCTTTTTTTTTGTAAATTATTGAATATTAAATATAATATACACTATATAAATTAAAAATATTATTTAATATCAAAATGTGTCCTAATATATTAAAATCTAACATTTTTTAAAATTAACATACCGGAATGTCGTGTCCCGTATCGACGTAATACAGGTGGTTAGTGTCTCTAACAAATAGATCGTTATTCGACTACATTTTTTTTTTCCTGTACATATTTCTACAAGAGGCTTAAAGAATCTGTTCCCTACAAAGAAAGTGAAGGTGGAAGGGTGTATATATGAGCTCTGTAAAAGTACGAAACTGATGAAAAATAAGAATGAAAATGCAGAAAACTAGAGAGAAGTTATTGGTGTTTGGTTACCAAGAGCGGAGCCAAGTTGGGTGGAAGGGGTGTCTTGGCCCTAGCTTATTTTGAAAAATTAGTCACATTTTAACTGTGGCTAAATAACCTTTCACGTTTTAATATTTAGCACCAGCTAAATTCTCATCGGCCCTGACTGAGTTGGAAGGCTGGCTCTGCTGCTGACCGAGAGAGACACAGAAAATTTCTGCATTGAATCTTAGTTGTGATGATTGAATAAAGAATGAGGGAAAAGAGCTTTAATTTGATTTGACTTTGGGAGAAAGAATCTAATAGAAAGTGCATATGTAACAAAATGAAAGAAATTTTGCGGGAGAGATGCGGCGGAAGTAGAGAGAAATCCATAGCCCAGACCTCTTTTCAGAACTCTAATACCATCTTACTATATCTAAATTTCATTTCTATCAAAAGTGAGTCAAACTGAAGCTTTGCTATATATTTAATCAGCCATACTGTTGGTGTTTCAAGGCTGCTGTTGATGTCCTATTTTTTAGGAGTTAATTAGTTGTTTTTTAAATTGATTAGTCTTTTGTTTAGGAGTTTGTTTACTGCATTTTACTGTTATTGCTTTGTTAGTTTGTTGCTGATTTTGTGGACCAACAAAATCAGCTGGTTAGTAGCAACCACATGAGCTCAGTTTTGTATTTAAAAACAAGTTCATTAGTCAGAATAAAATAAGCTGTTGCACAATATTGTTTCTGATGTTTGTTTTTCTCATAAAAGATCAACATTGGTATCAGAGCCTTCTTGATCTTAAGGGGCTGTGAGTGACTTGAGAAATTAATGGAGGGAGGATCGAGTGGTTTTTCAGCAATGGCTCCACCAATATTCGATGGAGAAAATTATCAAGCATGGGCAGTGAGAATGCAAGCCTATCTAGAGGGTTGCGATTTTTGGGAAGCTGTAGAGCAAGATTATGAAGTTGCTCCCCTTCCTGATAATCCAACCATCAATCAGATCAAGTTTCATAAGGAGAGGATAACAAGAAAAGCAAAGGCAAAGTCTTGGTTATATGCTGCTGTCTCACCTGCCATTTTCAGCAGAATTATGGCTTGTGAATCAGCTCAAGCTATTTGGGACTTCCTCAAAGATGAGTATAAAGGAGATGAGAGGATTAGAAGCATGAAGGGGCTGAATCTAATCACATAATTTGAGAGATTGCAGATGAAGGAGTCTGAAACAATTAAAGAGTATTCTGATAAGTTGGTAAATATTGCAAATCAAGCAAGAGCTCTAGGCACTGACCTCTCTGATAATAGGCTAGTGCAAAAGGTTCTTGTCTCCTTGCCCGAAAGGTTTGAAGCAACCATTGCATCTTTGGAGAATACCAAGGATTTGTCTCAAATCAAGTTGGTAGAATTGCTAAGTGCTCTGCAAGCACAAGAGCAGAGAAGGTTAATGAGGCTTGAAGGAAGTACAGAAGGAGCTTTGCAGGCTAAAGAACAGCATAATGTAAGATGGAAGAAAAGAGATGACAGTAGTGGTTCAGAAGCTGCTGCAGGAGAGAACAATGCAATCAACTCTAAGAACAATTGGGGCGGGCATTCCTCATGTAAGCATTGTGGAAAGCAGAATCACCCACACTTCAGATGTTGGAAGAGGCCAGATGTGAAGTGCAGAAAGTGTCATAGGCTTGGACACATTGAAAGGTTCTGCAAAGAAAAAGGAGATCAGCAGCAAGGTGAGGCACATGTTGCAGACCAGCATGAGGCAGATCAATTATTTGTTGCCTCTTGTTTCTCCTCTAGTGCTCCATGTGATAGTTGGCTTGTTGATAGTGGTTGCGCAAACCACATGACAAGTGATGAAAAGCTATTTAGAGACCTTGACAAGTCATTGCAGTCAAGAGTGAGAATTGGAAATGGAGAGTATCTAGAAGTGAAAAGTAAAGGGACTGTAGCAATAGAGAGCTATGCTGGAACTAAGCTGGTTTCTGGTGTGATGTACGTGCCTGATATTGATCAGAACTTGCTGAGTGTGGGGCAGTTGGTAGAAAAGGGATTTAAAGTGATATTTGAAGAAGGGAAGTGTTTGATCTTTGACTCAAATGGTCAGGAGCTGTTCAGAATAAAGATGCAACAGAAGAGTTTTTCTCTAAATCCCCTTGAGAAGGAGCAAGCGGCATTCAAGTGTCAGGCTAGTGATTCAGAAATATGGCACAAAAGGTTGGGGCATTTTCATTACAAAGGCTTACTATTCATGCAGAAGAATGAAATGGCAACTGGGTTACCAATCCTGGAGGAGCAGATCACAAGGTGCAAAGCTTGTTTTTTGGGCAAACAGACAAGACTTCCTTTCAAAGAATCCACCTAGAGAGCTACAAAGAAGCTACAACTAATTCATACAGATCTTTGTGGTCCTCACGTGACTCCTTCACTAAATGGCAGCAGGTATTTTCTTATCTTCATTGATGATTATACTAGAATGTGCTGGATTTATTTTATGAAGCAAAAGTCAGAAGTTGCTGAGATATTTCTAAAGTTTAAGAGATGGGTTGAGACTCAAAGTGGCTGCAAAATTCAAGTCATCAGATCTGATAATGGAACAGAATACACTTCACAAAGGTTTAACACTTTCTGTGAGGAAGCTGGAATTGAGCATCAACTTACTGTTCCTTATTCTCCACAGCAAAATGGAGTTAGTGAAAGAAAGAATAGAACCATTATGGAAATGACTAGGTGTCTGCTGCATGAGAAGAATCTACCAAAAGAATTTTGGGCAGAAGCAGCAAACACAGCTATTTTTTTGTTAAATAGACTGTCTACAAGGGTACTGGAAAAGAAGACACCTTTCGAAGCTTGGTTTGGTTTCAAGCCGTTTCTAAAAAATTTGAAAGTGTTTGGTTGTCTGTGTTTTTCTCACATTCCACAGGTCAAGAGAGACAAGCTGGGAGAAAAAGCTGAACCTGGAATTTTCATTGGCTATAGTCTGGTGTCAAAAGCCTACAAGATCTATCAACCACAGACAAAGAAGGTGATCAATAGCAGGGACGTTCAGTTCCTAGAAGATGAGCAGTGGGACTGGACAGATGAGCCACAAGCAAAGCATAAGGAGGTCTCACTGGATTATGATGAGCTAGTAGATGATGATCCAATTAGAGGTACCAGATCTCTGACTGATATATATCAGAGGTGTAGTGTGGCTGTTTTGGAACCTTCAAGTTATGAGGAAGCTAAAAGTGATCAGAGGTGGATGAATGCTATGAAGGAAGAGTTGGCTATGATAGAAAAAAATCAGACATAGGAGCTAATAGAAAGACCTGAGGACAGGAAAGTGATTGGAGTAAAATGGGTTTTCAGGACCAAACTCAATCCTGATGGCTCAGTGAATAAGCATAAAGCCAGGTTAGTGGTGAAGGGATATGCACAGGTTTGGGGAGTTGATTTCTCAGAAACCTTTGCTCTGGTTGCAAGACTAGATACAATTAGAATGATTCTTGCCTTGGCAGCTCAACAAGGATGGAAAGTGTATCAGTTAGATGTGAAATCTACTTTTTTGAATGGAGAGTTGCAAGAGGAGATTTATGTTGAGCATCCAGAAGGCTTTGTCACACCAGATCAGGAGGAGAAGGTTTATTTGCTGAGAAAATCTCTCTATGGTTTGAAGCAAGCTCCTAGAGCATGGTACAGCAAGATGGATGAGCACTTGCTCTGTTTGGGTTTCATAAAAAGTCTTAGTGAATCCACTTTATATGTCAAGAAGTTAGCATCTGACTTAGTGGTGGTGTCTCTTTACGTGGATGATATGCTGGTAACAGGGAGTAATAATTCTCAGATTACTGCATTCAAAAGGGAAATGATGAAAACGTTTGAAATGACTGATCTTGGTGAGATGTCATATTTTTTGGGGATGGAGGTTAGACAAACTGAAAATGAAATTTTTATCTATCAAAAGAAGTACTTGAAGGAGATTCTGAAAAGATTCAACATGGAGGAGTGCAAGAGTGTAAGTACTCCAATGGGTCAAAAGGAAAAGTTTCAAAAGAAAGATGAATCGGAATCTGCAGATGAAAGAGTTTATAGGAGTTTAATTGGCTGCCTTATGTATCTCACTGCAACTAGGCCAGACATTATGTTTACCGTAAGTGTCTTGTCTAGGTTTCTTAATTGTCCAAGCGAACTGCATATGGTAGCTGCAAAAAGGGTGTTAAGGTACTTGAAAGGTACTCTTTTATATGGAATCAAATTCTGCAGAATTCAGAAGTTTAAGTTGCAAGGGTATTCTGACAGTGACTGGGCTGGATCAGTGGATGATATGAAAAGTACTTCGGGTTATTGTTTTACATTTGGGTCAGCTTGTTTTTCTTGGTGTTCAAAGAAGCAGGAAATAGTGGCCCAATCAACTGCAGAAGCTGAGTTCATTGCAGCTACTGCAGCTGTAAACCAAGCATTATGGTTGAAGAAGCTGATGGATGACCTGCATTTGGAGCAAAAAGAAGGCATAGAAGTATTTGTGGATAATCAAGCTGCTATAGCTATTTCACAGAATCCAGTATTTCATGGAAGAACAAAGCATTTTAAGATCAAGTATTATTTTTTGAGAGAAGTGCAGAAGGCTGGAGAAGTGAAGTTAATGTACTGCAGTTCAGAAAACCAAATTGCAGATATATTCACCAAGTCATTTCATGTTAGTCGATTTGAATTTCTCAGGGAGAAGCTAGGAGTGTGCAGCACTTGATCCAGGAGGAGAATGTTGGTGTTTCAAGGCTGCTGTTGATGTCCTATTTTTTAGGAGTTAATTAGTTGTTTTTTAAATTGATTAGTTTTTTGTTTAGGAGTTTGTTTACTGCATTTTACTGTTATTGCTTTGTTAGTTTGTTGCTGATTTTGTGGACCAACAAAATCAGCTGGTTAGTAGCAACCGCATGAGCTCAGTTTTGTATTTAAAAACAAGTTCATTAGTCAGAATAAAATAAACTGTTGCACAATATTGTTTCTGATGTTTGTTTTTCTCATAAAAGATCAACACATACAACTGAAGCTTTGCTATATATTTAATCAAAAGTAAACCTACCTAGCTAATTGCTTCTACAACAGAATAACCAAATAAACCGAAAACAAAATGGACGTAACTGCCATCTGATTTCCTAAAGATCATCAGCATAGCGTTTGGTATATGCAGAAGTCTGAATACTGAGTTTCTCAAATTTGTTGCTTCAGGTTCTCGGCTGCTTCTGTTGCAGATAATGTAAATCCTCTTTATGTTTCATTCATTATTTCATTATTTCAAGTCGGAAGGGTAAGGATGCTTAGATTTGAAGAGCAAAATATTTGAGCTAACTATTTCCACATATTAAGAGCAACGAAGAATTTTTGTCTGGCAACTTTGGGTTGGATTCTTGAGGCAAATAGTAAAATTAATAAGCAATGATAGAAAATTAGAAACTTAAAAAGAGTGTCAAAGCGCCACTTTTAGTGTTCGACTACTCGACCTAGCGTGGGGACAACCTTAAGATTTCAAAAGTTACACCTAGAAAGTTTGACCAATGAATATAATTCTAAAGTGATGGACAATGATGACGGAGAAGCCAAGCAATGAAAAAGAAAAACAAGGTGGTAGAAGATCAGGAACGACAGAGAAATCGGACGATTTGGTCTTCACATCACAAGACACATCTACTGGGGCTATTTAACAAAAAGCGGATGTGGGTTACACACCCTGCTTTTCTAAGATTCAACACGAATACTGTACTGGAGACCAAATGACACATTTATGGCTATTCGATGCAACCTTGTGGTTGGGATGGTGGGGAACATTTTACTACTTTTTTCTTTTCTTTTTTCTTTTTCCGTCGTTTGAAAATTTATTGCTCAAATTCCTCTTTAGCTAACATTTACCATTTCTTTAGGTCTAAGCAATGATGTTCTTGTTCCCTCTTCAACTTGCTAATTAACCTCAAAGCAAATTCAACATGTGCCACTGGGTAAAGAAAATTGCGTTAGACCCGTGAAACATGCACGTGAGGAGGCTGAGATTTTCATCCGTCATGTGATATATATCAGTAATGTCTTGTCTTTCTGTTCGGTTCTTTTGATTGTGGAAACATGCTCTTAGATAGGTGTTGTTTAATTTAAGCATGATTAATTATGAGAAATAATATTTATACTTTTTGAAAGTTTTATCAAGAAAATTAGAAAAATAAATAAATAAGTTAATCCAAATAAACAGTAATAAATATCTATAATTGCATTTCTTAAAAAGTATATATATTTTTTTTTGAATACATTAAAAAAAATATATTTCTAACGTCTTTGATATTGAATGGAACCTATCTAGAATTTTTTTTTTTGCCTATGTTATCAAATAGAGTTGGAAAAAAATTAAACTTTTGCGCTCGGGTCATATTATAATTTATAACTATATATTTTAAAAATATAAGAAAAAATAATTTTAATATTATAATTATCTACTCTCAAAATACACCGAAAATTAAATGAAACGGTTGTATTGAAAATGTTCTCAATATAGTTGATAGCCTGTCCCCAAGACCCGATCCAGTGTACTCATTTTGCGTTTTAATAGATCCACAGTTGTCACGTGGTTCGCGATGCGATTAAAACCTTTCGTTATTTATTTATTTTTTATCGTAAAATTGCTTTAGATATTTATTACCTTAAATTTACTCATGCATTACAAAAATAAAAAAGAAAATGAAACCATCATAACAGAAATAAATGCACACAGCAACACCTCGTAAATGAAAGAAAATGACGATGATGAACTTTGTCTAGTGTAGTTAATTCTTGAAAAGATATGATTTTTGTGGTTTTTCTACTGTTCATATTTCATAGCGGAGAAATCAAATATATTATGGTCGCGCTAAGTGTTCAGTACAACAGTCTATTATAAATATTAAAATTAATTTTTTGTCTAATCTAAAAAATTATCAACTGATACGGAGAGAGATAAAAAAAAAATTAATATTTTGGCTATATATTTTTGAAAATACATAGTATAAATATACGAAAATCATGCTCTCCTGTGACACGAGAGCAAAAATTTTTCTTGCATAAAGTTCATTTTTCGTGCCAATTAATTTTTCTCTACTTTTTTTCTCTCATGCTATCCTGAACTCATAAATATTAGGAAAATAATTATCTCATTTTACATTACATGAGATAATTATCTGATCATGCACTAGATACAAATTGGATGTGAGATCCACTTTAATTTTTTTTTTTCTTCTTTATTATCTCTCCTCTCTCTTTCGTACGTACGTGTAGAAGATTATTTTTCTCTCATAGAAAAACAATCCCCTAAATATAACCATCCCACTGAAAATGCTAACAAAAATGCTCTCCTTCGTAGCGTTTCAATGAACTATACATCAATTTGTTTTTCTTGGTACACAGCAGTATTAATTTGTAGCCTCACTTGTACCAATGTCTTTATACATTTGGTCTCTTCGACCAAGGTCCCTCATGCGCAACACGATGATTACATCCATTGAACATTGATTATATGTATATTACCCGTGAACATACAAGGTTTCAGATATCAATGAACTTTGTCCACCTGAATTTTGCCCATGAAATGTCTACATTAATCTAGGTTCATTCCATCATCCTCAAAACAGATTGAGTATATTACTGACCACACGCTTTGTCCAACTGTTGTCTGTATTGTAATTGCCAACACTATCTTCAAACTTCCATTAAATTGAAGTGTTTTAATCATAAAAATCTTCAACTCAAGTTCTATGCACCAACATAAGATTTCATTTAATCTTAAGTAATTTGAATATAAGAAGCCCTAAATTAAATTTTCCAATGAAATAAACGTTTAACATAGTATAGATACCAAGTTGATTTTCACTTATTGACACGTGTAGTTGTCGGCTACCATGACAACATTTCAGGTCTACCAATTACATAGGACTATAGGAGAAAGAAAAAAGATAAGAGGTGGCCAATGGAAGGGTGGCGCAGCAGTTGAAAAAGTCTTCTTCATATTACTGGTCATGTTCTCTTTCTTTGTTTATTTAAGGTCTTAAGGTGGCGGCTTAGTCTGTAATCCAGCTACTTCCACAATGGGAAAAGCCTCTAGTTCTTCCTCCTCATCCACCAACAGCAGCAGAAACCCTGTTATCTCAACTGCATCCTCTCTCGCAAACCCAAATACTCAACACCTTCATACAGATCTTAGGCTCGGACCAAGCATTTCCTCCACTCAACATGTTGGCTCTTCTATTTCAAGGTTTGTATATACAAAACATGACTTGTCAGTTTATGAACCTTTAAATTCTTTTTTTTTTTATGCCATAATACCAATTTGTAGTTAGCTTAACATTTGTCATCAAATATTTGTGTCATTCTCATATTAGGGAACAATGGCAACCAATTCAGCCCCATCTAAGAAGTTCACAAGCTGCCGAAGTATATGATTGTAGCGATCATAGCAGCTTCTTTGTGAAGGTGTACATGGAAGGCATTCCGATTGGTAGAAAACTCAATTTATTAGCTCATGATGGCTATCATGAGTTAGTACAAACTCTTGAACAAATGTTCGACACTACCATTTTGTGTAAAGTCTATTGCTATGCCCCTTATAATTATTTCTGCTTTGTGTTAGCATCTTTGTTTCATCATTAGTAAAATAACAAAAGAATAGATGTAACGTGTTATTATTAACAGGGGGAACTGAGATGGATGGAGTGCAACCAGAGAGATGCCATGTTCTAACTTATGAAGATGGAGAAGGAGACTTGATTATGGTTGGGGACGTCCCTTGGGAGTAAGTTAACTATGTGCTTTCACTCATGATCACATTTTCTTCCATTTTGAGCATTAATAATGTACTTGTTATTTTGGTCATGTAGGATGTTCTTATCATCTGTAAAAAGGTTGAAGATCACTAAGGTCGACACATTCGGGTATTAAATGCATATATATGACAGAAGCCTGCCTCTCCTCCTGTGATTTCAAATTTTGTCCTATGGAGCGAGACTCAATATTAGTGAGTTTGGATATTGACAAGGAGGGATGGCAAAATCAAAAGGAAAAAGGGGGGAAGGAAAGCGAAGAAAATATATGAGGGGTTAAATGATTTTGTCCTGGTTTATTTGCATATTTAAAATCTTCTCAAATATTTTAAAATTAGGAGAATTTTGAAATAAACTAAAATACTTTTTGTCCACGGTCCACGGTCCACGCCACTACCGGCTTTACTTTATTTATAGTTTCTAGAAGTCAACTTTTAGCTTCTCTAATTGCCGACATAATTTCCCCTGTTGTTAAGACTCAGTTTCCCCGCATTCCCACAAAGAAAATCAACAAACCAAAGGAAAACTGCACAAAAATATATGAGGACAGGAAAGCAAAGTTGAAACACGTGGTGTGCCAAGAATAAGGAACAAAGAATCGACAATCACGATAAAGTAAAGTTATGTTTTTTAGCATTGTTGCCCTTGATTAAATTAAAAAATATCACTCTTCTTTCGTTTTTAAACTACTTAAAAAATATAATTTTTTGCGAAAATATAATATTAATTTGTCTCTATTTGATTATTGACTGGCTTTCAGACTCGAATACGTGATCAATATACTTAAGTAAATCAAGTGTCATGACTTTATACTTAAGTACATACCCTGATACTCGAGTATATGGTCTTGTAAGTATATGGTGACCAAATCCCCTACAAGAATTTTTCAGCACATAACTCTCAAAAAATTATGTGAAATAAAAAAAGGGCACCTGATTCGAACACCAAGTCAAAAGTTGTGGCCTTCCCAAGTTTTACTATAAAATTTTCACAATTTTTTCATGCAAATAAGTTTTGTGATACCCACAAAGCTCCTCCTCATATCACCCTAGTCAAGTTAAATATTATGAGTATATGACTATAGAAACTTTTTTGATCCAAAAAATCTTGTGAAAAAAATTTAATGGTAAAACTTCAAAAGAACATAATTTTTGACTCATAACTTTTCAAGAGCTACTAGTTGAAAATTTTCCTGAAGATTATTTGTTAGTGTTGGAAAATAGAAATTTAAATAACATCACTTCGCAAAGTAAATATGCCAAATGGGGCATAACAAAGCATTTTTTGGACCAAATCCCTTACGATAAAATTTTCAAAATTTTGTAATACAAATAGATTTTGTGATACCCACAAAGCTCCTCTTCAGATCAAGTCTAATATTATAAGTATATGAACATAGAAACTTGTTTAATATAATAACTCTTACATGTAGTTATAGATTTAATTATGAATTAATGATTTTAATCATAATATTGAAGAATAATTATAAGAAAAGTAGAAGAAAAAGAAATAAAGTCACATTTGATGAAAAAAGAGTTAAAATGACACTTAAGGAGTAAAAATGCGGGTAAACAAAGTTACCCTAAAGTGAAAAGTAAAGTTAAAATATTACCACAAAAATATTATGGACCAGTGTGCAAAGTTGGAACGAGAGTCTAGTGAGCAGGATAGATAAGTTTATACACATTAAGTCAAACAATCTCACTTAAGTAAACATAACACTCTCTTTCTCCCTCATTTCTTCTTCCCCGTCGACAGAACCTCTTCTCCATGACATAAGAGCTTGAGATTTTTCAAAAAACCATAACTCTCTCATGTCTCAACGAAATGCATTCGTTCCAAAGCCAAGACTTCTTCAAATCTCCTCCTTTTTCTAACCCATAATTCATTTTCGGTTGGGTTTTATTGTGGAGAGAGATATCCTCATCCAAAGATTTCGTGGTTTCTGTGTTTGGGTTGTTTGAGAGGTTCCCACTCTATGGAAGCTTGAAAGGAGTTGCTTTCATCGTTTTAGGGTGTTATGCGGTGAGTTTCCAACTCTTAAACTCCACTTTCTTGAAATTTTTGAATTTAGGGTGATGATGAATAGTGACCATCCGAAAATTGATATTTTAGGAGATTAGTAGTGATTCGTTGTTATTGTTTTATGTTGTAGAGTTGATCCCAACGTTGTTTTGAGCAAATTCCACGGATTGGAATCCACATTCGCTTGAGTTGGAGATTTGTGGATTTTTCATATTGAGGAGAGTCATGGTATTAATAGTTGGAGGGTGATTTGTAAGTGAGTCCATTTGTTAAACATGCTTAGAATTGGTTCCCGTAAAAGGAAAAATTATGAAATCGTCATTTAGAACACTTTGATAAATTGGATTAAAAATCAAGTGTAGGTGTCTTGTATGTGTAGTCATGAAAATTGAATGTGGTAGACTATGTACTGATTGTCTTCACATATTTGGAATAGGTTTCGATATTGTGATAGATTGTGGTTGTGACCCCTTGGATACAAGGAGTGCATTGGAGGACAGTGCTTGACAGGTAAGCTTTCGGTCCTTGGGGTTAATCCCCCGTTTGTTCCACCAGACTCCGAGGGAGGATGGTACTTTTATATGGTATGTGGATATGATTTGTTATATGTTGCATGTATATGTATGTATGTTTGTGTGCCACACAAGACGGTGTTTCCTTGTGTGAGGCATAAGACGATATTTCCTTATACATAGTATGAGATAGTTTTTTCTCACACGGTATGTTGCAAGATGATGTTTCCTTACGTAATGCATACTTGTTATATTCTCTGGCCAATAGGATTACATTATTGCACACTGCATTGTCATACATATTCTGATTCATGCATGAATTTTTATACTGTGTTTATACCGAAAGTGAGTTTAGGGGTGAAGGAGCCCTCCAAGGGTCCCTAGCTTACTGAGATAATTATATTATCTCACCCCGCGTTATGGGGATCACCATTTCAGGTATAAGAACTGATGGTGCTGAGGCATCGCATGGCAAGAGACCAAAGGAGAGATACTACTTGACATGCTTGTCAGGGTCTTGTGGATATTTAGATTTATACCTTACATACTTTATTTTGAGTTGTATATGCCATGTATTTTTTTGAGAGCATAGGAGATGTCTATGCCAGGTCGATAATCTGTACATGTTATTAGTTATGCATGCTCAGGTCTATGTTACTTATTTAATTGCATCTTTTTTGTTTATTTGTTGTAATTATATAAGTAACATTATAAACATTATTTTGAGACAATATGATTATGAGATAGCCTAGGCCATGGATGGCTGGGCAATATGTGTTATCTATGTTGTGGTATGCCTGGATTATATTAAATTGTCAATTAGGTTGAAATTATCATGATGGAAATTATCCATAGTGATCCAAAATACAAACGAAATGATGAACGTTTAATTTTGGCCATGGAAGTGAAAAAGTTTGAAATACATAAAGAAAAAGAGAAAATTTATTCAATTAGCTTCCGCATTAAATTAAGTTGAGCATGTTGCACTTACTATCATATGAATGTTAATTAACTGGCTGCAGACAAGGCATTACATTTAATCCAAAAAATATCGTGGAAAAAAATTTAATTATAAAACTTCTGAAGGCCATAATATTTGACTCAAATGTCCGAATTAGGTACTTTTTTTATTCCACATAACTTTTCGAGAGTTACGCGTCGGCAAATTCCTGAGGGGAATTTGGTTACCATTTACTCGCGTACAAGACTATATACTCGAGTATATGGTGCCATACTCGAGTATCAGGGTCCTATACTCAAGTAAATGTTCATAAAATCCCATATGACAAACAATACTCGAGAATCAGAGTCCTATACTCGAGTATTGTTCCACTTAATATACTCGAGTATAATAGTTTTGTACATAGTTTGGTTAACTGTCAGATAGAGACAAATAAGTAAAACGTTTTGGAATGGAGTTAAAGTGATATTTTTTAATTTAATTAGGGTCAAATGTATACTTGCTTTATAGTTCCAAATCACAACTACAGAGATGTTTAATTTCGATTTGTATATTTACATGGCGCAACTAAAATCAAATCTAACGTACATTTCCAATTACATTTTAAGTGTAAAAAAAAAAAAATTTACTACCGTTTAATGATATATTATCAAATTATTTAATAAATTTACTATTTCATAAATTTTAAAAATTATTGACTGTAAAAAATTCTTTCGGTACAATATGTGTCCAAAATTTACTCGACCGGACATAGACATGGGTAGATTTGTAATAGAAATGAGGCTCCAAGTCCAAACCTGTGCCCATTATGACTAATAGTTATCAGTTAACACATTATTCTGAAATTTAGATGTTTTGGCCCAGCAAATTGTCAAGGTAGCCCAAAACAAATAAAAAAAGGTAAACTCTTAAGCAAAATAAGATTAGAAGAAGGGGGGAGGAGGAGGAGGGAGGGGGGAACAAATTGAAAAATCTAAAAAAAAAAAAAAAACTTAAGAAATGTTTTTTTTATTTTTTTAGAAAAAATGACCGCAAAGAGCATGGTATATAGGTATGCATATTATATTACTCTTAATTTTTTTTTGTACTGTAATTTCTTATTTAATTAAGGAGAATTGTTTTGTCATGTTACAAGACAAAAACATCTTTTTTTCGGTAGATACAATTCAGGTCTTGTTTGGTGTCATATATAAAGTCTTATAGTATAAGTTTATATTATACGATACAATATTTTTAATTGTTTAGTGTGACCATCGTATAGTATAAGCTTATATAGTAAGATTCTTTTATACATCAAAATGATGAATAACTTAATCTGACCTAAGATAGGGAGATTAGGCCCGATAAATGATTGATGTATTAACCAGTGTAATTCTCAATAATTAATATATTATTTTAATATTAATATATTAATATAAAAATAATTTTCAATATATAAAATTTTAAAATTTTGGAGATTTTTATTTTTATAAAAATTAATATATTTTTTTGGACACATTGAACAATAGATTTTTATAAAAATTAATATCATATATCATATTATTATTCATATCTAATATTATACATACCAAATACTAGATGATATTATCTTATACACTATCATGTCAAACACTAGATAGTATTAAAATTTAATCAAATATTATATAATTAGATCTTACACTATAAAATCTTATACTATCAAATCTTATCCTATATTATGTATTAAACATGTCCTATGCCCTGAATTCCATCTTGAATTTTTTTCTCACTCCACTGTTCAGTAGACCCTACATATATTATGAGTATGCCGAAAGATATTTTTTTGTCCAGCAACGTAACAAAACAATTCCCCTTTAATTAAACGAGACATCTTACATGTGAAAATTTCTTAAATGCTCCTGGAAGTTCCCTATTAGAATTCTCACCATAAGAATTTACTCTTAATTCCATTATGAGACCCAGTAATTCCGAGGGTAAACATGTTTCTCTTGGATCTGATAAAAGAATCTCTCCCCATCAGATAAAGCGAAAAAAAAGGATTTCGTGAAATGAGATCATCCCTGTCGTATTTCATTTTTATTTTTCTTATTTTTATTTTTTGTCATCTTGTGGATTAGCCTTTTGGCAATACTATTGGATATAAACACAGAAGATTCAGAAACTTGCCAGCTCAGCAAAGCAGTTAAGCAATGCCATGTCAACCCTTTAATCACGGAATCACCCACGTGATATAACTTTATGTTAGTTATGAAGTTATGATTAGTTGATTAGTTAGTTACACTTATATAAATATGTATCTGATACATTGTAAACAATTAATTCATTCATTTTTTCTATTTTCCAGTAATGAGTTCTTCTAGATTTCTTTCATTGATCTTTTGTAACATGGTATCATAGCCTCTGACAGTGATACTCCTAGCCTTTGTTCATCTATTTGGTTCTCGTTCATGGCACATATGTCAACTTCTTGTTGTGCTAAATTTACAGCATTATGCTGTTTAGAAGTTCCAGTTCTGTATCCAGGAGTTCTATATCCAGGGGGAAATCCATGGAGTTGATAGCAAGAATCAACTGTGTGGTTTTGTCTCCCACAATGAGTGTAGATTTTTGTGTTTCTTCCTTGGTTTCCACGTCCCTGACCTCCACTGTTAGGTCTAAATTTTCCTTTCTCAACAAAGGTTCTTCTGCCATTGTTAGTTTCATTAGACAAAGAATGAGATAATAAAGAAAATTCACCTTGAGGAACCGATTGGAATTGTGGTTCCTGCTGAACCACCAAAGAAAAGGCTCTACTGACATGAGGAAGTGGATCTATCATCATGACTTGGGATTTAACATGAGCATATTGCTCATTTAGTCCTTTGAGAAATCTCACAGTTTGATCTTGTTCCTTGTGTGTTCGTATGAGTCCAAGAAGGCCACAATTGCACGCAACAATGCATCGGCACACAGGTAATGGACGAAGATTGTCCAGTTCATCCCACAAAGTCTTCAGCTCTGTGAAGTAATCAGTGATTCTCATATCACCTTGTTGAATTTTATAAAGATCTTCTTGAATTTCAAACAAACGAAATATATATGATTGACTAAAGCGATTTTTCAAATCAAGCCAAACATCAAAGGCCTTGTCCATCCAAAGAATCGATTTTTCTATTGAAGGACTAATGGATCTATGAATCCATGCAAGGACCATAGTGTTACAACGCTGCCATGCCACAAACAAAGGATCAGCAGCAATCGGTGGAAGAATAGATCTGTCTATGAATCCAAGCTTGTTCTTGGATAACAATGCCATGCTCATATCTCGCGCCCAAGTGTGGTAATTCTTTCCACTCAGAGGGGGATTGACTAGAATAAGAGCAGGATTTTCATTTGGATGCATGTAGAATGGATGTCCAGGATTCGTGAGGAATTCTGGAATCAAATCAGCCATTGTTTCAAAGAAAATAAGAAAGAAAGAAAATCATAGATTGAAGAACAAGAATCAGCGGAATGTGGATACCAGAGCCTATGAAAGCTCTGATACCATATTATTAAGTCTTTATCAGAAATTGTTAAGTCTTCTGCAGAACACTTCTTCTGCAATTGAAAAAGAGGAATCATCTTTTCACTCCACCAATCTGGTTACAGCAGTGAACTCCACCAATGTATCTTCAGGTAATCACTCTATTTATTGGATTTTAGATTCAGGAGCTACAGACCATATATGCTCTATGATCTCAATGTTTAGCTCAATTCAGAAAATTCCCCCAATCTCAATAATGATACCAAATGGTACTCGAGTGACCACATCTATCTGTGGAACAGTATGCCTATCCGATTCACTAAAATTAGTAGATGTACTATATGTTCCAGACTTCAAGGTGAATTTAGTTTCTGTTTTGAAAATGATTAACTCAATGCCATGTTGTCTAACCTTCTCCAAGAATTCATGCCTCATTGAGCAGGTGGATACAAAGAGGATGATTGGTACAGCTAAAGTCAAGGGAGGCCTCTATGTCTTTGAAAGTCCACAGCAAGTCTCAAAGAGTTTTAATTCTTTTAATAAGAGTTCGATTCATGTAACTCAAAAGATAAATAATGCCAAACTTTGGCATTTTAGATTAGGTCATTTGTCTCTTGAATGTTTAAGACAAATGTCTAAGTCTTTTCCTTTCATTTGTTGTGATGATGTAAGGCCATGTGACACTTGCCACATCAGTAAACAATGTAGGTTACCCTTTACTGTTAGTAACACCCAAAGTAATAAAGTCTTTGATGTTTTACACGCAGATATATGGGGTCCCTTTGCAGTTCCTTCAATTCATGGACACAGATTTTTTCTCACACTAGTAGATGATTTTTTGAGGTACATGTGGATAATCCTACTAAAGAATGAAGCTGATGTACGCAAGAGACTACAGAATTTTATCTCATATGCAGAAACTCAGTTTGATGCTAGAATTAAAGTGGTTCGTAGCGATAATGGGTCTGAAATTCTCATGACCGATTATTATCTCCAAAAGGGAATTGTTCACCAAAGGAGCTGTGTCGAAACTCCCCAACAAAATGGGAGAGTAGAAAGAAAACATCAACATTTATTAAATGTGGCACGATCCTTAATTTTCCAAGCTCATTTACCAATCAAATTTTGGATTTTTTCCATTTCACTTGCTGCACATCTGATTAACCGCATTTCCACTCCCTTGCTTAACAACAGATCTCCATACATGGTACACTATGACACGACACCTACTCTTGATCACTTACGAGTATTTGGCTGTTTAAGCTATGCAAGTACTTTAGCTGCTCATAGAGGAAAATTTTCTCCCCGTGCAAGAAGATGTGTCTTTGTCGGTTATCAAGATGGGATTAAAGGCTATGTTGTCTATGACTTGAAATTTAGAGAGCTTTTCACATCACGTAATGTAGTCTTCTATGAAGATTGTTTCCATTCAATAATGGCACAAATACAGAAGATTCAGAAACTGATAGCTATGACCCACTTCACCCACGTGATACTGCATCTACTGTTGTACCTACTCTGGATGAATTTTTCAATCACCCACGTGATATTGCACCTTTCCCTAATGCATATCCCTTCCAATCTTATCAACTGCCCTCACCTATTCCCATACCTACACGTGATGTTGCTTCCTCACCTACTGTACGTCCCTCTCAATCCAATCACTTACCCACTACCATATCTCAGCCACCCATTGATTCAACCCAAAATATAGACTAACATTTAAGACGTTCTACTAGAGATAGAAATCCACCTCAGTATCTTCGTGACTTTCATTGTCATGTCTCTTTAAGCAAACCAAACCCCACCAGCCAAACCAAACCCAATCGTTTCCCATTATCTGATGTGCTATCCTATGCACGATGTTCTCCTTCTTTTACTCGTTTCTGTTGAACTTCCATTACCCATACAGAACCAAAGTCTTATTTTCAAGCCTCAAAAGAAGACTGTTGGAAGAAAGCTATGGAAGCAGAAATTTCTGCTCTTGAACAAAACCAGACTTGGGTTCTTGTTAACCGACCAGCAAATAAACACATTATAGGGTGTAAATGGGTTTACAAAATTAAACTCAAAGCTGATGGAAGTATCGAAAGACATAAGGCACGCCTGGTTGCTAAAGGGTACACATAAATGGAAGGGATTGACTACTTGGACACCTTCTCCCCGGTTGCTAAAATGACCACAGTGCGTGTTCTGCTCAATGTTGCAGCAGCTCGTGGATGGCATCTTATGCAGCTTGATGTTAACAATGCATTTCTGCATGGAGATCTTCATGAAGAAGTCTACATGGATTTTTCTGCTGGTTTTCCTATATCAGATCCTCCCAAGGTCTGTAAACATCAGAAGTCCTTATATGGCCTCAAACAAGCCAGTCGACAGTGGTATGAGAAACTGACTTCAGCATTGGTTAGTTTGGGATATTACCAATCTTATGCAGATCATTCCCTTTTCTTCAAGAAAGACCGTTCTTCCTTCACAGCACTTTTGATTTATGTCGATGACATTGTGCTCTCTGGGAATGATTTAGCTGAAATAACCAAGGTTAAACTCTTCCTGGATTCTTGTTTCAAAATAAAAGACTTGGGTGATCTTCGTTTCTTTTTGGGACTAGAGGTAGCTCGTTCTCAATCTGGAATCGTTGTTAATCAGAGAAAGTATGCTCTTGAACTTCTCTCTGATAGTGGCTTGTTGAGCTACAAACCAGCCACTACACCCATGGAAGCAACCACAAGACTTCATCGTGCAAAGGATTCATCTGAAGTTCTACCTGATCCTCAACCTTATCGTCTTTTGGCTGGTAGATTGCTCTATCTCACCAACACTCGACCTGACTTGTCTTTTGTAGTACATCAGTTAAGTCAATTTGTTTCTTCTCCCACTGCTCTTCACATGACAGCTGCCAATCGTATTCTTCGATATATCAAGGGTTCCCCTAGCAAAGGACTCTTCTTTTCATCTTCAAATTCTATGTTGCTGGCAGGCTTTGCAGATAGTGACTGGGCTTGTTGCCCAGATACCAGGAGATCTGTTTCGGGTCTCTGTGCCTTCTTAGGAGATTCATTAGTCTCTTGGAGATCGAAGAAGCAACACACAGTTTCCAGATCATCAGCCGAAGCTGAATATCGTGCACTTGCTTCTATATCGTGTGAAATCCAGTGGCTTCGTCTCTTACTTCAGGATTTACAAGTCTCTTGTTCCAAACCTGCTTCTGTTTTCTTTGACAACATTTCTGCCATATACCTTGCAAAGAACCCTGTTTTCCATGAGCGCTCGAAACACATCGAGATTGACTGTCATGTTATCAGGGAACATATTCATGATGGCACAATTCATCTCCTTCTAGTTTCGTCATCAGCACAGCTGGCTGACATCTTCACTAAGCCTCTTCATCCTCGTCCATTCACTTCTCTTGTTACCAAGCTTGGTCTCCGAGATATTCTACGTTCAGCTTGTGGGGGGGTATTGGATATAAACACAAAAGATTCAGAAACTTGCCAGCTCAGCAAAGCAGTTAAGCAATGTCATGTCAACCCTTTAATCACGGAATCACCCACGTGATATAACTTTATGTTAGTTATGAAGTTATGATTAGTTGATTAGTTAGTTACACTTATATAAATATGTATCTGATACATTGTGAACAATTAATTCATTCATTTTTTCTATTTTCCAGTAATGAGTTCTTCTAGATTTCTTTCACTGATCTTTTGTAACATGGTATCAGAGCCTCGCCGCCCCCCATTTTCTCTTGTGGCGTTTCTTAGCACAGGTAGGCTGGGCCTGTTACATTGTCCACTCTTCAAGCCCAATGGGCTCTCGTGTGAGGGAGCGTGTTGAGATATATAGTCCCACATTGGTTGTATGTGCAACTAATGTGGAGTTTATAAGGTCTTGGGCACTCCCACCCTTTGAGCTAGCTTTTGGGGTGGTGTATCCTAAGGTTCTTTACAAATACCCTCTAGTGAAGCTAGCAAATATCTAGAGCATCATATAACTTTGTATTCATCAACTTTTTTTTTTGAATACTATTCATCAACTTCTAATTAACTAAAAACAGAAAATGCCACGAACTAGGTATATCCTTTGAGTACATTGTTGAGTTTACTTCTTTTAAATCATTGTTTTACCTACCATTTAATACTTCCCTAACTTCACAATTGCTCTTGATAAATTTTGCATTACTTCATTTGATGATATTTTCTTTTCTTTTTTTAAGTTCTTTGTTGCTTATTTCACGTTATCCTTCTTTCAACGTATTTTAATTACTGTTGAATGAAGTCAAGAAGGACACATAGTACTAGCCTATTCAAATTTGTTAACTTTGTTTAACTAGCTGATAGACATTGTTCCTTGGTGAATTCTGACTTAGAATGATTGCTCTTTACTTTTAGTCTTTCTTACCTTTCTTTATTCACTTTCTTTTGAATGCAACTTTTACAATTATTTTCTGAAAATGATAATCTACGAATCACATGAAACCATATATTACATGATGTGTACCCTTGCGCAATTTGAGTAGATTTGCTCTTCATTTGATTAATTGCTCCTTGTACAGAATAATTGATCCACACTACTTTTGCTGCCACATTTTCTTGAGCACATCTCGATCCAACAGAGTACATTGTTGAATCCTTGCCAGAGAACAGAAAATAAAAGAAAAGAAAACATACACTTAAAATAAAGACGAGTTTAGAAGGATTTCTGATATGCACAATCCAAGTTAGGTCCAGTGTCTACGTTAAACAACTTTGCATATCTTTCAAAGTATCCAATCCGGTCATTCACCCTGGCATCATCAGGAATTCCACATTCAAGTCCTCCATTGATTATGTTAGTGACCAGGCCATACCCCGAAGTTCGATTAGCTGCTATGTCAGCTTCTGTTGGCACATATTTTCCAATCATCACATTGTGGCAAGAAGGTTTTGGCTTTTGCTCTGTCATCCAAAACCAAAGGCCTGTTTTAAATGCAATCAATGAATTGTTTGACACAATATCCGGATTTCTCAATCCATCAAATCCCAAGGCTTTCCCTGCTTGCCCATAGTTGTAGTTCCTGCACAAAATTTGATTTCAATTCATCAATAAGCCAATTTCATTACACATGAACAAAAATCATGATAATAATGTGTAAATAATATATGGCTTTGATGTATCTCCTACACATAAAAGTGTGTGGGGCTCATGTGAAAAGAAAAAAAATAAAAAAATAAATTTCACACAATTTTATATGTATGTGAGAGATAATTTTATCTAGGGAGATTAAACCCAATAATATATGTGTATACCAAGAAAGTTGAATTGGTCCTCTGCCTTTGTAACTTTTTCCCTGATAACAAGGCCATTCTTTGTTGGTGGAATCACAGTAGTTACTTTGAGGATTAACTTCTTCCTTGAAGCACAATCCCCAAGCATAAGGTCCATCAGGGGCAGTAGCCCACCCACCTGTGGTTTCATGGGAAATTTGGGCAAGAAAAGCAGCAATCTCACGCTGGCGCGTGGTTAAACTACCTGTAGTACCAAATCCAGGGAAGGCTTTTGATGCCTGAATGAAGGACTCGTAGCTGTAGAAGTTTTTGGCCGGGCATGCATTGTCATCTTTATGTAGGAAAATGGAATCAAAAAGCACTTTGCTAATTAGAGAACAAAGGGGTTTAATGGGTGGGCCACGAGCTTCAGCTCCCAAAGATGCAGAGTAGAGAAGAACAGTGAAGCAAATTGAGAAGCTAGAGAGGAAGACACCAATAGAGGAAAAAGAAAAAGCCATTTGCTGAAAATAGGGTCAGATTAAATGTTACTCACAATTGGCTTATTTTTTGGGAGTAAGTAAGAACATGCCAGAAGGTTTTTATAGACATTAGACACCATCTAAAGAGGGAAATGTCAGCACAGACGGTGGAGGCCTACATGGTCAAAGGTCACGGGAAGTTTCCCTATCATGTTAATAAAAATATGACATAATCATGTAAGAAATTATAATCATACAAAAGTGGATCAACGTGATAAAAAAAATAAATATTAAAATAGGTAGTACAAAAATTATGATTATTATATATGATTATGATTTTCTTATATGATCATATCATTATTTTTTTAACATGAAATGATTTATTTCTATATTAGAGGTTCGTGACGAGATGGAGTATATTAGCCCAATTATATTAAATGATTTCATATTATATCTTAATCCAAAATTTTAAGTATTGATTTATAAATTTTTTTACTTATATTTTTCATTTAGTCGATTACCCATTAATATAAAACTTCTTCATTCTTCAAACATCCCAAGATTCCACTTACCCGTGTATCTTTGTGATCCTTGGCATATGGAAATGACATAAATCATTGATTGTTGACTAATTCTTGGCAGTTGATGAAGCATTTGTGAAGGTGGAATGTTGACATAAGCCATATACAGGGCACTTGAGATTGATGAAAGTCAGCCTGCTTGCAGGGTTTGACCACGGTGATACTGATTGAATGACATTGCCAATAATTTCTTCTTATTTTATATTATATAGGTCGAGGTGAATTAATACAATAAAAAGAAGAGGTATTAAGTGAAAATTAAACAATTGTCGATGTTATTATATATATATATATATATATATTTGTCACTAACTAATACTGTTTGATATGAATGTTTGAATACCTTATAGTGAAAATTAACTATATAACCAATAATTATTGGTTCAATTAATTTTGTTAATTAAATGTTTCAAAATTGAGCTCTAAAAATGGATGAAATTATTTTGGAAGAATTATTTCTTACAATTAAACCGGTCGAGTAATTCAAAAACTGATAGAAAAAAATTCAACTATATATCAATAAATTCAAGTTTTTTTAACTCAAGTGATTTCTAATATCATAAAAAATAAAAAATAAAAAAAATTCCTTCTTAGCATTTCCTTAACCACGGTTTCCGATTCATCCTCTTTAATTCTATTTCAAAAAGTTGACGTGATCACTAATTAAGTTGAGGCACATAAATCATTTTATCACAAACGAATAAAAATTCTCTTGAGTTCTACCACAAACCTCAGCTCATGTCTTACAGTTATGTGTATTTGACAATATGAACTGTGATTTCAAATAGAGAATTGTGTCATATTTTCTAGATGTTCAACCTGAAATACCTATTTGACCCATATGCTTTACATATGACACGCAGAAAATCGCACTTTTTTTTTACCCACCTAATGGCGAACATGTCAAAATGATTGAATGAGATTTTGGAAGCAGTACGTAATGAACGTCCATCTAAAGTGACTTAATTCTTGCGTTGCATATGACATGTATGGACATGATCATATCACAAGGATTTGTTCGAGAAATATGATATGTAATATAAGACCATAAATGTGTTTTACTCACTAACTTAAATTTTTGAGTTGGAATAATTCATTATATGGTACGAGGGCTTCTCTAATCAAGCAATTACAAATTTAATCATCACTGTTCAAGCAGGTGGACATGTGCATGATTTACCATTTAAGCATAATAAATTTTCATGTGAGAGAACAGTTTAAGGTTTTATGTTAAAATAGTTGCATTGACTTTACTTTCAAAATTATGAAATAACTTATTTTCTTTAACGTGACTAAAACCTTCCATTTAATTTGAACTAAATTATAATCTTGACTTTAGTTTACTTTCTGCCTATTTAATTTTACTAGAAAATAAAGACGATGATGATTGAATCCATGATATCGTGGTTAATGAAGCTTTGATATTATATAAAAAATTAATTTAATCCAAAAATTTAAACTGTTGAGTAAGTATATTTTTAATGAATTATATTATTCTCTAATATACTTTAAAGACAAACTGAATTTATATTACAAATATATATTAGTACAATTTAAACAATTCAAGAGTAATAACCATTACTAATTTAAGTTAAGTAATCCATTTCTAAATTTGTATAGACAAAAGTTACACAACGCACCAAGGCGATACTAGTGCGTTTTGGGTCATTACTCATTAGCACCCTCCCCACCAAATAGGAAATGGGTTTACTTGACTTTATCAACGCACCGCGCACGATTTGTCAACAAACACCAACTTCGATATCTTGATTCAGCGTTTTGATGTACGCAATTCTGAAAGTGCGATCCGTTTGAGACATTGAGTTGTGGCTGAGTGCATGAGCACTCAAGTGTCCCATTTTAAAATTGGCCCAAATTTATCAGTCGTATAGAAATAGACTTTTGAACAATATTATAAAAAAGTGTGAAATACCTTATTCAAAATGTTTCCGAATTCCTAAGTTAAAAAAAAAAAAAAATGAAGTTCCGACATTTTACATAAGAAATGTGTATTAGAGAATAATAAATAATTAAAAAGATTTTCACCCAACAACTTAAGATTTTTGGTTAAAATGATTCTTTATATGATATCATAGGTTCAGTGACCATAAGATCAAAAGTTTGATCATCACTGCTCTCCATTTATAGAATTAAATAAATATAAGATAAAAAAAATTAAGATCTTATATGGAGAAGTGTGTTAAAAAATAATATAAATTATTAAAAAAATTCATCCAACACCTTAAAATTTTAGATTAAAGTGACTCTTTACAAAAGTGACCCTTCCTTATATTTATTATAACGAGATATTGATATCACTTACATTAACTTTGATTTCTTTCTGTATTAATTTTAAGGTTTTATTAATCTCATGTTAAAAGAGATATTTATCTCGTGTCATAGAGACAAACTAGTGAGCTCTACCACCTGAAAAAAAAAAAAAGATGACACAATTATCGAAATGTGTATAGGAGAAAAAACTTATGTCATGTGACATAAGAATAATTTTTCCCTTAATTTTATGTACCAAATAAAATTATAATTTATCATTACAGAAGCTGTCAAACGGAATTAGGAATGATTATTTCACTTTAAAGTATTTCATTGTAAGTCAAATTATTGTTTCCGTATACAAAACGTAACGTAATTGTGGAACAGTGACAATTTTGTCATGTTTGGACAAAAAAATTATCAGACTGTCACGTCAACAGTAAATTTTGTCAAAATGTCACGCGTCATAATTCGCTATACAGTGTAGCGAATTATGCATGCAAGTAATTCACTACACAGTATAGCGAAATATGCCACGTAAGAACCAAAAATGACACATGTCAAATTTTGAGAAATTCGCTACATAGGTAGCGAATTTCTCAAAATTTGACATGTGTCATTTTTAGTTCTGTGCATTCTGACGTGGCTTATTTCGCTACAATGTGTAGCAAATTACTTGTATACATAATTCGCTACACTGTGTACAAAAAATATATTTCATTTGATTTTAATTTCATTCTAAGTCAAATTATTGTTTTCGTATACAAAACGTAGTGTCCTCATGATTGTCCAATGATCCCGACCGATCCGGGAGAACGGGCCTCGAACGTGACTGAGTCAATCAATCGGTTCCAACAACTGCAACTCTCTTCCCCCAACAAAAGTATGATACTGATATTGAACATTCCACCTTAACAAATACTTCGTCAACCGTCCAGAATTAGTCAACAATCAATTATTCGTTGCATTGACGATCACAAGATGCGCACATCCAGTGATCTCGCTATAAATTCTCCTTTATTTTCTCATACATTTATGTCCCATGAAATCGTGGGGGATTTTTTAGTTTTTTATTATTTTTCGGTAGCACAGTCTTGTCAATGTTAAATTTTCTTTTTGAGTTATTTGAGAGTTACTCAATTTGAGTTATGAGATCTTAAATACGAGAATTTTTTAAAAAGAAAAATACTTAAACCAAAGTCTAATAATTTGATAATTTTATGGAAACAAAGTAAAAAACTATGTATTTCAAAAAAAAATATATATATTAAAAATAATAATTATTGTCAATTTACAAATGTGAAAACCTATTATTGATGTATATGAATTTGTTATTTGTTTTAATGTTTCTATAGGGAATATGGATAAGTTATCTACATTCGTTCCCAAAACGACATCGTTTTGGATTGAAAAATTAAAAAATTATAATGAAAAAGACTATTATAATCGTAAAATAAATTATAATTACAAAAATACTTTGATTTCTGTCTCAGAATGACGTCGTTTTGAGCTCAATGTAGATAAGATATATACATTGATGGTAGAAAAAGCGAACATTTTGTTATTATTATGACTTGTATTTTCAGATGAGGAGTTTGTTGTAGTTCTATCTTAATATATTTACAGTTAAATTTATATATTATTTGAGTTTTATGTTTGTCATTTTAAATGATATAAGTTATGTCATTTTAGGAGAGAGATAGACACAGAAAAATAGAAATCATGGGAGAGGGGAAGTGAGTGGTTTTTTTTAATTTAAAATTTAAATAAAAAAAATTATGTGTCTGTCTCTCTCGTAAAAAGACAGAGTGTTATGTCATTTAAAATGACAAACATTTTTCCCATATTATTTTGATAAAATATTAATTTGTTATATAGGTTTAGTGTGTGTCATTCAAAAGGTCACAAGTTATGTCCTTTTAGTGATTTACACAGGGTACGACCGGTCGTACTCTATGTAATTTTGAAAAATTACTTTTCTTTCACTATACACGATGTGACTGGGAAGAGAGAAAAAAAAGTAACTTTTCAGTTTTACACACAGTACGACCGGTCGTACTTTGTGTAAAACACCTAAAATGACACAAGCTTGTGTCATTCAAAAGGATACTTCTTTTTACCTTGTTTTATATATATATATATATATATATATATATATATATATATATATGTATATGTATATGTATATATATAATTTAGATTTGATA